AATATTGCCTAGCAGGCATGGGGTAATGCCATCCTCATGTTTACCCAGAACTGTTGAGAATCGCGTGACAAGGATCTCGTTATAGCTATTGGGATTAATATTGATGCTTTTACTCAAGCTTTTTAATTATATGAATCTCCATGGAGCATTCTTGGTTCTTCCGTATTCTACCTGACGTTCTCTGAGGACGATCTCCAAACTGGTTTCCTCGTTTGGTGGGATAAATTTGGATTACAATTAGATGCCTTTCCAAGAACCAATTCGCGCTTGCATTCAATGAATGGCAAGTTGCTTACAGTAAACTTCCAGTTTAATAAGGATATTTCAATGTCCAAATCTACAGCTCATTTTGTTATCAGATTTGGCATCCCATGAATATGGAAGTGGATTTCCAGTGTGAATTTCCAGAACAAAATTTCTTTTCGCATAAAAACCTCATAATACTAATTTCTTTTAGTCGGCAACATGTTAGCTTCGCCACAAAACCATTAGTCGCCGAATTGGTTGACTTTTGGCACTAACATTTCGTGTGGTCGGGGGAAAGTATTCTTTTTGCTAACGAAAGAATGTCACCGAAACTGAACATTTGCTAATGAATTCGTAGTTTGTCGGCAAGGTTGGACTGTCGGGCCACTAAAATTTTTAGTCACTAAAAGTTCTAAATAAAAATTTTAACCGACTATTAGAGAGTAAATTTTTGGTCACCACATAATACATATTTTAGCGACCATCGTCATTTTTGTCGCCCGAAACTTTTGGCGACTAAAATTGTTCGTAGCCAAAAACCTCTTAAGATTCACTTCTTTTACTTTTGCCACCAAACGTTTTAGTCGCCAAAATAATACCATTGTTTTTTCGTGACTAAAAAATTTAGTGGCCATAGTTTCATTCTCTCAATTCTCAAATTTTTAGGTACTAATTATTTGGTCGCAAAAACTTTTTGGATTATATTTTTGCTGCTAAATTATTAGTCACCAAAACATTAAATTACGTATTTGGCTACCAAAATATTTGGTGGCCAAAATTTTTTTGTTTGTATTTTTTTTTTTTAAAAAAAAGTTTCTAAACAACCTGTATCCATTATTAGTACAACCTGTATCCTATATAAACAATATAATTCATCAACGCTAAATATATTATCAACCATTCAAGCATTCAACAACGTGCACATATTTCAGTTCCAAGCATCCAAAAAATTAATATTGAACGTCCAATTCTATAGATTAATCAAATTCCATACGAACCAAGTCTAATCAACGTCAATAATTTATTCCATACATAATACAGGAATAACAAAATTAATTAACAAAAAGAATATATGTACCATAACAAAAATTTAATCTGTATTGCCCCAACAACTATTTGTACCACGTGCTATGCTAATTTCTACCATGCCAAATTAGTTGATATTTACCACACCAAAAAAGTAATTTGTACGAACCACTATATATACAGATAGAGGTAATAAACAATGCCCTCCCGACTTGTCAAAAAAAATCATATCCACATTTGTATGTATAAAACCATCTGCACACAAAAAAAAAAAAAAAAAAAAAAAAAAAAAAAAAAAAAAAAAAATCGTTAGTTTGGTGCCTATAGAGGCATTTCTGGACGACATATAGCAACTATATTAATTTCAAACATTAAAAGACAAGGAGAGTAATAGCTATTAATTAATGAAAGACACCCAAACATGGACTGGTAGACAAGCATCGATTCTATGAATTAATGCCAAAAGTTATGTTTATGGCAATTAAAAGGGCCAGAGTCAACAAAAGCACTAAACAATTTACCAAAAATATTGTGCCACGTTTAACTAATAAGGAAAGAGTTAAACAAACTATAGTTTAAGATGGTATTACCAAGATGGTATTACCACGACATGGGCATTTTATGTTCTACCACATAAGCACATTGTCGTTCCCGAAACGCTTTTTTCGACTATTGTTATGACATTTTCAACTCTAACTCCCAACATAGTTGTCCTATTTACGTTCCGTCTATCCCTACATGTCACATTTGGACCCGGGAAGCTTCCCGTTACATAAAAACAGTGGTTCGGGGGCTGTTTTTCATTTTTGCCCCTCGAACCCCGTTTGTCGACTAAATTTATGACATTTTCAACTCTAACTCCCAACGTAGGTGTCCTATTTACGTACCGTCTATCCCTACATGTCACATTTGTCACCGGGAAGCTTCCTGTTACGTAAAAACAGTGGTTCGAGGGCTGTTTTGCATTTTCGCCCTTGAACGCCTTTTTCGAACTAAATTTATGACATTTTGAACTCTACCTCTCAACGTAGGTGTCCCATTTTCGCCCCCCGAAATATTTATCCTTGTGAGTTCTTGTTTTAGCTTCTTAATCTGTAAATCTATCTAAGAAAATTTTAGTAGTTACATGTGAAAGTTAACTGTGTAGGTATTATCAAATTATAGAAATTATGTGTGTACTTACCATTTAATCCACAAATCATTTGTTATAAAAATATGAGAGGACCCATCATTAGAGTTTGCCTGGTACCCATAAAACTCAATATTGGCTCTACAATGAAGAAATTGCAAATTTTAAAGGCAAGGAGATTGTGTTGGTTAGCATGAAGATGGTGTTTTCACTATGCTTATGCTTATGCTTTTGTGACCTCCATGAAGCTTCCCGTTATGTTAAAACAGTGGTTCGGGGGCTGTTTTCCATTTTCGGCCCCCAAACCCCTTTTTTTCGACTAAATTACTGACATTTTCAACTCTAACTCCCAACGTAGGTGTCCTATTTATGTACCGTTTGTCCCTTCATGTCACATTTGACACCGGAAAGCTTCTCGTTACGTTAAAATAGTGGTTCGGGGGCTGTTTTGCATTTTCGCCCCCCGAACCCCTTTCTCGACTAAATTAGTATAACATTTTCAACTCTAATGCCCAATGTAGGTCTCCTATTTATGTACCGTCTGTCCTTATATGTCACATTTGTCACCGGAAAGCTTCCCGTTACGTAAAAACTGTGGTGCGGGGGGCTGCTTTCCATTTTCGCCTCCCGAACCCCTTTTTTCGATTAAATTTATGACATTTTCAACTCTAACTCCCAACGTATGTGTCCTACTTATGTACCGTATGTCCCTAGATGTCACATTTGTCACCGGGAAGCTTCCCGTTACTTAAAACAGTGGTGCAGGGGCTGTTTTGCATTTTCGCCCCCAGAACCCCTTTTTTTCGACTAAATTTATGACATTTTCAACTCTAACTCCCAACATAGATGCCCTATTTACGTACTGTCTGTCCCTAAATGTCACATTTGTCACTGGGAAGCTTCCCGATACGTAAAAACAGTGGTTCGGAGGCTGTTTTGCATTTTCGCCCCCCCAACCCCTTTTTTTCGACTAAATTTATGACATTTTCAACTCTAACTCCCAACGTATGTGTCCTATTTACGTACCTTATGTCCCTAGATGTCACAATTGTCACCGGGAAGCTTCCCATTACGTAAAAATACTGGTGCGGGGGCTGTTTTGCATTTTCATCCCCCGAATCCCTTTTTTTCGACTAAATTTATGATATTTTCAACTCTAACTCCCAACGTATGTGTCCTATTTACGTACCGTATGTCCCTAGATGTCACATTTGTCACCGGAAAGCTTCCCGTTACGTAAAAATAGTCGTGCGGGGGCTGTTTTGCATTTTCGCCCCCCGAACCCCTTTTTTCGACTAAATTTATGACATTTTCAACTCTAACTCCCAACGTAGATGTCTTATTTACGTACTGTCTATCCCTAGATGTCACATTTGTCACTGAGAAGCTTCCCGTTACGTAAAAACAGTGGTTCGGGACTGTTTTGCATTTTCACCCCCCGAACCTCTTTTTTTCAACTAAATTTATGACATTTTCAACTCTAACTCCCAACGTAGATGTCCTATTTATGTACTGTCTATTCCTAAATGTCACATTTGTCACTGGGAAGCTTCTTGTTACGTAAAAACAGTGGTTCGGGGCTGTTTTGCTTTTTTTCCCTCCGAATCCCTTTTTTCGACTAAATTTATGACATTTTCAACTCTAACTCCCAGCGTATGTGTCCTATTTACGTACCGTCTATCCTTATATGTCACATTTGTCACAGGGAAGCTTCCTGTTATATGCAAAAAGTGGTGCGGGGGCTGTTTTGCATTTTTACCCCCCGAACCCCTTTTTTTCGACTAAATTTATGACATTTTGAACTCTAACTCTCAACGTAAATGTCCTATTTACGTACCGTCTGTTCCTACATGTCACATTTGTTACTGGAAAGCTTCCCGTTATGTAAAAACAGTGGTTCGGGGGCTATTTTGCATTTTCGCCCCCCGAACCCCTTTTTTCGACTAAATTTATGACATTTTCAATTCTAACTCCCAGCGTATGTGTCCTATTTACGTACCGTCTGTCCCTACATGTCACATTTGTCACCGGGAAGCTTCTTGTTACGTACAAACAACGTATGTGTCAAAATTTTTGCTCGTTGTATCAAGACTAGTGAGTTGATCATTAATTGGATTGTTTCGAAGTGCTTAAAATCTAAAGATTGAATCTCAGGTGCTTAATTTATGATTTAATCCAATTAATAAATGAACCAATTAACACACAAAAAAGAAAAAAGAAAAAAAAGAAGGTTTTAAGTTGTTGGATAAGATGGCAGTACAGCATGATTATAGGGTTGGCAATTAAGAAACAAGCTCCAATCTTCATAATCAGTAGTTGGACATGAGTAATACTATGCACGTATGTAAAATCATAGCAAGATTAATATGAATGAATAGATGAGAACAATTCCTTGATGTATGTTTGACATGCATTTCAACAGTAATATGAATTAATAGATGTAAAATATAAAATCATAGACAAGGCAGATAGAATCATAGATAACTCTTACCAAAGAACAAGTCCATATAGCAAGATAAATAAAAAATGAAATCAATACTTTGAAAAGAAGCTACAGTTCAACAACCTTTTGAAAAGTCATGGTTAGTAAATATGCAAATTAAGTGCCATGAGTAAGGAGTAAGCTATGCCAAGATGAGAATTATGGCACATGAAAATGTAATGCTGCAATCATATGAACTTGATATCCATCTTATCGCAATTTCCAAGGCATAAAGTAACACTTGTAGCACTAGTTCTCTGTCCACACTTGATATCCATCCAATGTATTTAAACAAGGAATCAAGACTTAAATTGAATCAATTTGTTTCAAGTTATGTACCGTCACAAACTATTTCATTTTACCCCTTCTCCCTGGAGACAAGTGGCGATGGCGTGAGACTAGGCAGAGGTGTCTCCTGCTGGTGATTAGTAGAAGAATGGGAATAATGAATTTTATCATTGCTAGATTCTCCATTTCTTGATCCACAATGTGACCTGAAAGTTAATTTTGCAGCAATGGATTATAAATGAAGCTCAAAGAAATTGGCACTCAGTCGGAAACAATAGCCTCTTTTCAACATATGCAATTTTAATCATGATATTTGGAACAAATATTGACCCTATTTGGTTATGTTTTTGGTTTTCATGATTTTGAAAACAAAATCAATGAAAAGTTTATCATAGTTTCACTTTGATTTACAATCATTTCAAAGTTTTCATAGTTACCGCTGGCGAAAGTTTGAGGGCTGGCTCATGTGCAAGGAGGGTCTTGGACACCACCGGTGAAGTGAGTCACATTCTCAGATAAATCTGTACTGGACTGCATACAAATAAATATAACATGCCATCATCAGATTGGTTATTAATTCAGTGAAACAAGATTGCAAATTCAATGATTGAAATAATATTTTCTAGCTATCATCTCAAATGATTCTCAATTTCAGGGATAATTTTGTTACTTTTCAGCCATGAAGCAGACCGTAGGAAATACAAAAAAGTAAAAATAAAAACCACACACTGATTCATGTACGAACACTGATTAAAAGCAACAATAATAGTGGTAGCAGTAGCAGAAGTAATAGGAGGATTGCTGATCCTAGAACTGTACCACACATAATGAAACAAACGTGAGTTGACTAATACTATATATTTTGGCACAACTAAAGACAAATTGTTGAGAAAAATCATGAAAAGACTTATAGAAACAAGGTCACCGGTGAAGAATATGTTTAAGATTCTGACTGTGAGTTTCAACTTACAATGAGCTACCAATGATTTCATTGGTCTTTTTCTCATGAGATTTATGTTAGCCTCAGCAAAAAGAGGCATTGACATCTTCTCCTCACAATCTGGATAGCACCCATAGTTTCCCATATCATTTATTTTCACCATTAAAACAGCACCATATCCTTCACCCTGTTCATGAAACCCAATTAATTTACAAGAAAGTATAATCCTAAAATGTATTTGACATCCCAATTACAGCCCCCTTTGACAGAGCAGTTTGTTTCCTAGTATGTATTTGATTTGGCATAGGCCTACGGTAAAACATGATGAGTACAACAATATTGAACGAACATTATTCTTTTACTATCACCACTGATGTACTAAATCGTTACTTACCCGTTAATGATGCAATGAACTGTAAAAGGAGAGTAAAAGGGGGATAAAAAAAGAAAAAAAAGAGCTTCACGATTAATAAAAAAAAGTGAACTAAGATCCACGATCATATTGTAGCAGTTCACTCACATTATACAACAGTTGCTGCATTATACTGTTGCAATCATTAACTGTTCCCCGCAATCTAATGCCTTTTGCTTCAACCATAAAATGTTGCGAGATGGTAACAAATGTCTGAAGGGGCTGCCATTGATAACTGTTCTTTAACTTCAGCTCAGTTGTACTGATGAGCTCTGCAGGTAGTTCGGTAGAAAAAAATCCAGAATTCACTTCCAGAGAAAACATGACCAGAAAGTGAGACTTGTTCCCTGAAAATCAACCAGAGAATATTAGGACTAGGTCTCATGAATATAATTTTAAAAAATACCCTAATAGAATTTATCCACTTATGATATAAACATTTCAAAGAGGATATTTGCTTCAAATAGTATGGATTTCAGAGTAAGCAGCAAGTGGTATTCCAGTTCCTATTACTAGTGCCCCAGAGACTCATGTTCCATGTAATACAAAGTTGGAGCTTGATCGGGTCCAATAATGGACGCAATAACCTTATTTTTGAAATTTAATAATAGGGAATATTACTTTGATATTTCACACTTGACAGTTTCCACCTCAATTTGAAGTAGCTCACTTAAGTAACAGAAGCATTTGAATATTGATACTACATGATCATAACCACTTTCCTAGCAAGAGATACCCATTTATGTAATCACCATGAAGACACTCTCTTAATCACCTCATTATATTGTCACGCTCAATTCATATTGACTGTCAATTTATTGTTTTTATACAAGTCCCAAGTGAACCCTGCATGAAATTGTAGAACATACCCATTAAGCTAGATTTTATGGTGAGTTAAATAGCACCCCTACCTACCCGATTTTAGACCACATAAAAATATCAAAAACAAAAACATATGCCTGTCAGTTTCACCCCTACATAAATAATTTGAGTATTTTCTTTGATTTTATTTTTATTTTTTACTCTCTTTTTTTCATCTCACACAAACTATGTTGAGAATTACTAACGATTAATACTACAGACAAGTCTGTCAAGCCCAATCAAACACTTGAACATGGATAATATGACTTACTGTTCTCTAAGACAACCTGGAATTCCAAATGTCAATGCCACATCCAGCACATAAGCTCCTATTCAACGTATCATACAGATCTTTGACAAGACTAGCTCAGTGATTACTCTCAACCACCAAATGACAGAACCATCCCCTCAGAGATGAACAAAGAGCAATTTCATTCTACAAAAATTTTATCTTTATCATTTTTCATCTAAATTATTCCAGAAACTCTTGCAAATTTTGGCAACATGAATGAGCCAAAATTCCAAACCATTGTAAGGTCCACTGAAGAAATATATAGGGAAGACAGAATGCTCCTACACCATACAAAGAACATACTGCAATCCTATACTTACCCCCAGCCGGTATGAGTAGAAATTGAATTACTCTCCAATTGCTTCTAAAAGAGGCTGGTATGAGTAGCAGTACTAGGCAGATCTGTATGGGAAAAACAGATCAAAAAAAAAAACAGATCATATATATATATATATATATATATGTAACAGATCAAAAACCCCCCTATATACACTCACAGATGTATATATATATATATGTGTGTGTGTGTGTATGAAAACCCCCTATATCCGAAATCCGACACAGAGAGAGAGAGAGAGAGATACCCTTTGAAATCGGCGGTGAGGGAAGATCGCCAGTGAGGTACGAGCGACGGTGAGGGAGGATCGGGAGTGAGGGAGGATCGGCGGTGACGGATGATCGGCGCCGTCGTTGTGTGAAAGAGAGAGAGGAAAGCGAAACCCTAGATGGAGAGAGAGAGAGAGAGAGCGAGCAGGAGGAGATGAGAGGAGACGGCTCTGTGGTGTTTGTTTTGTGTGTGTTCTCAAACAAAACCCTACACATCAAACAAAACCCTACACACCCACAAATGTTATAGTTAATGTATTTTTTATTAAAATAAAAAATTATTAAAATAATTTTTATAGTTGATAAATTTTTTTTTTATTTGGTAAAATTAAAAATTTATTGTTTTTATATTTATTTTAATGAATAAAAAATTATTATTATTTTTTTATTTGATAAAAGTAGGAATAATATTTTCCATTAAAATAATTTTTTTTTTTTTTTTTTTGAGACTGAGATTGCTAATCGTCAAAATTTTTTTTTTTTGTTAAAAATATATATTTTTTCTAGTTAATGAATTTTTTTAAAAAAATATTTCTTTTTTTAGTTACGAAGATTGAAAATTTATTTGTTTCATTTTTATTTTAATGAAAAAAATATTATTTTTTTTATTTGGTAGAAGTAGGGCAATATTTTATGAAAAATATTTATATGAAAAAAAGGTGAAAGAGAGATGGTGGTGGTGGTGGTGGTGGTGATAGCGAAAGAAATTAGTGGTGAGTTGTGGTAGTGGAGTGTAAATGGAGTGGCAGGGGTGAAAGAGAGGTAATGGTAGTAGTAGTGGCAAGTAGTGGTAGTGGTGGTAGTGGAGTGGTGGCAATGGTAGTAGTAATGGTAGTCGTAGAGGTGAAGTTGGTAAAAGAGATGAGTAGTGAGAGAGAGAGAGAGGAGAGATATGAGTGAGAGACAGATAGAGAGAGAAAGCGAGAGAGAGAGGAGAAACAGAGTGATGAGCGAGAGAGAGACAAACGTGGTCGCTAAAAGTGCATTTTTCTTGTAGTGGAGAGCTCAGTAAATAGAGAAGCGATGAGGGAGAAGAGTGAGTAATGTGAACACAATGGGGAAGAGAGACAAACAGACAGACAGACACATAGAGAGAAAGAAAGAGAAACAAAAGAGTGAGAGACAAACAAACAGACACAGAGAGAGAAAGAAAGGAAGAAAAGTGATAAGTGAGAAAGAGACATAGAGAAAGGATTAAAGAGAGAAGAGACCCCCCAAACCCCTGAGCGAAAGAGAACATAGAGAGAAGACAAATGAGAGAGATAGAAAGAGAAGAAAAGATGAACGAAAGACACACAGCAGACAGACAAACAGACAAGATAGACAAACAGACAAAGGAAAGAAGAGTGAATGAGTGAAAGAAGAT